GAATCATTATATACTGATGATGTGCTGGCAAGATTTAATGATGACCATATGAATTTGAGATATAATGTAGATAGTCCCAGTGGACAATGATGATCTGCTGATAGCTGGACTAATTATAGAACTTTTATTTGTTGTTTTGTCGTAAATTTTGCAGTCATCCTTTTTTTTGAAAGGAATCTGTATTCTGGTCTACTGCAGTTCATAAGCTATAATCTTTAACTTGCTCTCATAGTGGTGTTCTGACTTCCCTTGCCCTCACTGTCATTAATTTGTGAGAAATATTCCTGTACTTCAAATCACATTTAGTAAACTTTCCTTTATAAAACCAATGGGGAACCCAATGAAGGAATGTTTTTCTAATGTTAACATCGGAGTTTTTAAGACCAAAATAACACTTCTCGAGACTTTAAACTGTTATTGACTTATTAATGAAGCGAATTTAACCATATATTCATTATTTTCATGCTTTTACAAGAGCACAAAATAATTTCATAAAAGAAAATATCAAAGGCTATATTGACACAGTTTAAGTGAAATAGCATGAATAAAATGCTTTAGCAATTTACTGTTCCTGTTGTTTGAGGTACACAGCTTTTCATTTTCACCTTGCAGAATTGAATAGTTTCCTCATTTATATCAGAAATAACCATCCATTTTTTTGACACCTACAATGTAACAGCCACTAGGCTAATTTCTTTCACACAATTTTCTTATTTTCTCAATCAATTCCAGTAAGACTTATATGACATATATATTATTATCGTTTTGTTATAAATGAAAAAACACATTCAGAGAAGTTTAGTTAGTTGCATTGGTCACATCACTTACAATGTTTAGAGCTGTTAATAAAATTAAGTTTGGTCTAACTTCCCCCACAAGTGTACTGTGCTTTTCTACTCCACAGATGAAGTCCATTAAGTGTTTGTACTCTGCTACTCCATAGATACTAAGATATGTTTACCTTACATCTCTCATGTTGAGGGGCTATCTAGAGATCCAGAAATCACTCAGAATACCACCTTGTTTAGAAATATTTTATTCCCATCCCTTTCTACAGGGGTAGGGTGTAGGGGAAGTACACTTGGGAAGGTGGAGGAACAGGAGAGCATTAGAATATTCTAAAACTTTGGAGAGTTGTGATTATTATGCTATCATGTTTCAATTTTCCTTTTGAGTGAAATGGATTAAATTGGCAAAGAACAGCTAAGGACATGTGTGGTACTTGGGCTTATATTATTTTGTAGTATGGTTTCCAAAGAACAGGATCAGAGCTATGAATTAAATGAAGAACCAATATTCAGCCAGGCACGATGGCTCACGCCTGTAAACCTAGCACTCTGGGAGGCCGAGGCAGGTGGATCACTCAAGGTCAGGAGTTTGAGACCAGCCTGAGCAAGAGCGGGATCCCGTCTCTACTACAAAATAGAAAGAAATGATCTGGACAACTAAAAACATATATGTAAAAATTAGCTGGGCATGGTGGCACATGCCTGTAGTTCCAGCTACTCGGGAGGCTGAGGCAGGAGGATCACTTGAGCCCAGGCGTTTGAGGTTGCTGTGAGCTAGGCTGACGCCACGGCACTCTAGCCAGGGCAACAGAGCAAGATTCTGTCACACACACAAAAAAAAAAGAACCAATGTTCAGCCATTAACAAGAATCATATAAAGAGGTTGCTGGATGAACATGGGGCAGCAGCAACTCTAAGAAAGTGTTTCAAACCAAGCAGGTTTTATTGACCCTAAAAAATTGGGCCAAAGAGCTTGCACTTTCACTACATACTAGGTCAGAGGCCCCAATGCAATCTTTAAAATGTGGCCCAGAGAGGTTTATCCAAAGGCAGAGAAAACCTGCAATGAGAAAATATTCCTGTTGAGTTTCAGGCAATCAA